TTTTGTTGTTATATACCTGGATGACTGAGAAAACAAACTTTGTGTTTATGAAATGCATTTTTCTGCGGTTCTCTTAATTTGCGCTGGTTTAAAATGACAAAATGAAAATTGGCACTGACCCCACCGCCCGAGTCATGATGCATGCAGACGCTCTGTCCATCATGTTGTGGTGGCAGATTCAATTCAATTCAGTTTATTTATATAGCGCCAGTTCACAAAGTTGTCTCAGGGCACTTTACAGGAACATTCACATACATAAAAAGCCAATTGCTGTATTTTTTTGGACTATAAGGCACATTTAAAATCCTTTTAATTTTCTCAAAAATCAACAGTAAGCCTTACTTATTACATTTGATTGTGCTTACTGACCTCGAACTGATTTTATGTGATACACAGCGCTCAAAAATCTGTCATTGTTGGTAGTTTTGCTTAATGTGCCTTATAATCCGGTGCGCCTTGTAGTCCGAAAAATACGTTAGTAAAGTTCTCTATGTAATGAATCCAGCAGACAAGTTGAATCTTCACTTCATCACAGTCTCCCATCCTGAGCAAGCACAGTGGCGACAGTAGAAATGAAAAACTCCCTTTTAAAAGGAAGAAACCTCCAGCAGAACCAGGCTCAGGACAAGAGGTCATCTGCTTTGATCAGCTGGTTTGAGAGGACAGGAAGGAGAGACAGACGAACACAGAATGACAGGTCCAGGTGTAGGTCCAGGTGTAGGTCCAGGTGTACCTGAAAGACAAAAAACATGTTAAGGATAGTAAAAATTTAATAATATAATAATTACAAATACAAAACAGGTTGAGAGTAAGTAAAGACAGTAGCAGAGTGAAAAGTATGGTCAGTTTGTCCTCCAGCAGTCTAAGCCTATAGCAGCATAACTAAGGGACAGCTCAGGAAACCCAAGCCGACCCTAACTATAGGATTTATCAAAAAGGAAAGTCTTAAGCCCAGTCTTAAAACTGGATAATGTGTCAGCCTCACTGACAGAGATTGGAAGTTGGTTCCACAAGAGAGGAGCCTGATAACTGAAAGATCTTCCTCCCATTCTGCTTTTGTAAACTCTAGGAACCACAAGTAAACCTGCAGTCTGAGAGTGAAGTGCTCTGTTAGTAAAATATGGAACAATGAGATCTGTAATATAAGATGGAGCCAGGTTGTTGAGAGCTTTGTAGGTTAGAAGTAGGATTTTGAATTCAGTTCTGGATTTGACAGGGAGCCAATGATGGTAAAGTTAAAAGTTAATATTATGACACATATTTGTCTTATAAGTACAATAAAACACATTCTGCCAGTTGCTGTCATTTAATAATCTTCATGACAAAAGTTACGCTCGTATAGGAACGCAACATTTGAATCTCACAAAGTTTTAAGAGTCGGAGGAACAATCTTTGTTTTAACATTTGTTCTTCAGGGATCCAGAGCTTTTGCAAAGATCTGCTGGAGGTGGCTGACATCCTGGAGAAGGCCACAGAGAGCGTACCCAAGGAGGAGGTGACGAGCCAGAACCCTCACCTGAAGAATCTGTTCGACGGCCTGGTGATGACGGAGGTCCAGGTCCAGAAGGTGTTCACCAAGCACGGCCTGGTCAGGCTTAACCCCGAAGGCCAGAAGTTTAATCCCTACGAGCACGAAGCTCTCTTCCACGCCCCTGTGGAAGGTAAAGAGCCTGGCACCGTCGCCGTAGTAACCAAAGTGGGCTACAAGCTTCACGGACGCACCCTCAGGCCGGCGTTGGTGGGCGTGGCCAAAGCGCCCTAGAACTGACGAGGTGGCTGAGTCACAAAGTGGGACTAATGTTTCCGGGGAGATGGAGACCTCAGGCTCAATGAGACCCTGGATCCACAATCCTGTTCTCACACACCCGCCATGATCTGGTGCCGCGAGGACAGGAAGTGAGCACACCGACACCCAGCAGTTTTCAAGAGATTCATTCAGTCACTGAACAGCCTCTTCAGTACAGTTTCAGTTCATCAGCAGCTTTGTAAGTTAACTCCTGCAGATATTAGATGATTCAAGATGTCAAAGATCACACAATGGTTTCTGTAACCCCTTTTTGAAAATAAAGATTAAACGTTAGGATAGAAAACTCTTTCAGTAAGAGTGTATTTGATGTGATGCATTCACTGAGCGACAGCTGCTCGCGTCATTCCAAACTTCTATGAGTTGATCAATAATTGTTTTTAGTTTTCATTGTGACTTTGAGCATCATTCTATGATTGAACCAAGGAAAGCCTCTGGAGTCATGGTTTTAAAATTGAGAAGCCGTTTCATTCAGTTTTATTCAAAACGTGTGTGATGAGGTCTGACAAAGCTCAAACTTTAAGACACAGTTCGACTGGAATAAATCAGTAATGTACCAAGTGTATCTGTACACCAGTATAAGAAGTATGTGACAGCAGAATAAACTGGTTAATGTTGGAAATTCACTCAAGATCACAGTTTGATTTTAGACCCGACATGTTCACCCTCGAGGTGAAGGGCAGCCGTGTGTAACGTGACTAAAGTCAAACTCAGCCTTTCCTCCAAGCGCAGACGAATCCAGTACTTTATTTGAACAAGAACTTCAGATTCAGTGTGGTTTTTTTCAAGGTTATTTGCCATCAGTACTTCACATCAATGAGTTTTTACCTTTTCTGTTTACACGAGTACGACCTTTAGAAACTTTAGTTTCTAATGTTTTTAATGCGGCGAATAAACAAAAGGAGCAGGTTTACATGGATCTGCTGTAGTTTCTATGCCAGGCAGGGTTGCCAGATAAAACAGAACTATTTTACTGGCATTAGGCCTGTCACGATAACAGATTTTGTTGGGCGATTAATTATCTAAAAAATTATTGCAATAAATGATATTGTTTGACATTTGACAATAATTGGTAATTATCGTCAAATTTAAGAACAAATGGTTAATTTTATTTTGTATGTAGTACCTTTTTTTGACCACCGGACGGCAGTATAAGACAACCAAAGGTTGGATAGTGAGGGAATGAGCAGCGTGTCTCTTTAAGAAAAATAGGAGGGAGGCCCCTTGACGTGACATGGGCTGTTTCTTGTTCCTGTTTTTCGGTTCTCAAAATAGAGGACGCTCGGTGCGATTTGAGCTCTTTAGCATAACATTTGTCACACATAACTTTTAATAAAAAATCAGAAAACAAGTTCTCTTCTTTTTGCAGAGAAAATCAACTTTTTACACAAAGGCACAAGTTTCAACTGTGAATTTTGGAGCTTCGACAAGACAGGGTTTTTTTTCCCCGAGGTCGGCCTGTTAGCTCGTAGCTTAGCTGCTTTCAACGATCCAAAAACACGATTTTGTATGGTTAAAATGGATTTTTAATGGGGGGGGGGGGTCAATGAAGAGCACTGGAGTTGAGACAATAAAGCCGATAAATGAGGTCGATAATTTTCATTTATCATGCGATTCATTGATTTGTTTATTGTGACGGGCCTAACTCACCTTAAAATGATTGTTTTGATCCAGACCGTCATGTGCTGAGTGACCGTGTTGTAAGACGAGGTGTGAATGGTGTTTGCTGAAAAAACATTTACCGTATTTTTCAGACTATAAGGACGATTCAAAAATTGACAGTGAGCCTTATAATCCGGTGCGCCTTATGTATTAATTCTAGTTGTACTTAATGGCCTCTAGCAGATTTTGTGTGGTACACGGTGCTCAAAAATCTGTCAAAATAAACTTATTTCACTTAATGCGCCATAAACCAAAAAATATAGTATATTTACCTGGTGCCCCCGATGCTGGGCTGCATGATCACAGTTGGATTCAAACTGGTGAATACATGAATGTTCCTTTGGACCAAGGATGTTGTTGGTTTGCTCCTCCTACAGCTGAAAATGGGTGAGTTGCACAAAAAACACTGCTCGGTGCTGTTTGTCTGTTTGTGTTTAAAAAACTTGATAGCATATGCCTGTAATATGCATTTTAAACCTCTGCGGGCGGGGCACCCCTGAAAACTACGTTGAGACCAGGATTTAAAAACCTTTAGGTTTCGGACAGAACGGGCTGTTGTGTACAGTAATGGCCGAACCGTGGTGGAAAAACACAGTTTCAAAATAAATGTATAGTGTAAACAGCCTAAACTGTTTTAAGACATTAGCTCATATGGATTGAGTGATCTGTAAGTTTGAATGGCACTGATCAGCAGGCTGTATTTATCTGGACATGAAGGAGAAGTCACATCCATGCAATCTGTGCAGTTTATGCAACAACAAAAGAATGGATCGACTGACATAAAAGGATTAATAAAGTTAAAATTATTAACATGACAAGTCACAGCAGTGGTCTGCAGAAGCTGAAAACATCAGGTTTCCATGTTTTAGTTAATAACGTTATATTTGGGGAGGGTTAATTGTCCCTCATTGCGAAGTGAAGAGAGAACTGGAAATTCCCTTCATCAGTTCACGTGTGAACATGATTTGGAACGTAAGTGAGTCTACATCTAGGCTTAGTCGTTAAAAGTAGTTTCTTCAGATGACTGAGGGCCTTGGGGTAGCTGAAGGTGAATCTGGGGGTTTCAAGGCCACCCCAGGCTCCATTGTTGCACCCTGTGGTGGATAAGATGGCTCCCTCCACTCGCCAGGTTCTGCTGAGGACAAAAACAATAAATCTACCTCTCTTCTTAGACACAGGACGCTTCTACACACCATATCTTGCACCAAAGCCTCGCTTACGATCCCTGTTCAATTCCAGTAAAAAAAAAAGAAGAAAAATCTCAACAACTGCACCGACTCTTCAACATAGACATTAATACGTGTAGTATGACAATATATGCATACAATATTCACGAGTTCCTCATCTTTCTGACTGTGTAATGTCGTGCATTGAATTTAACAGAAATGTAACGAGAGACGTTATTTATCTTTGACCCATCAAAGTGAATGCGGCCATTTATTTTCAGAATCAAAGTTTAACATCAAACATTTACATTAATTTGGCAAAATATGAAAATAATAACAGACAAGTTTCACAGAAAAGGGACATCGATCACTCGGCGGTGAACGAGGACTTTGCTTCAGATATTTCTAAAATATCTGTACTGATTTTATGAGAAAGAGGAGAGTTTTAAGATGAAATGGAGTTATCTTACAGAGAGATATGTGAGGGAATTAATCTGTTTGTCCAGAACGTGCACGCTTCATCAGATCTCAGCTTGCCTCCGGTACACTTTAGTCGAAGAGGAGACTGTTACCTGGTTGACGTAGATCAGCTCGATAGAGAATCCTCCAGACCTTTCAGCGTCTCCGTTGAGAGCAGCTGAAATCCTTAGATAGTCGTGTGTGGTTTGTTCAAACAGAAGTTATAATCCCAAAACGTCTCTGGATCATCCTGAACGCGTTTGCACCCAAGAACTCTGAACTCCTTTCATTCTTCAGAACTTCTCAGACTCTAACAGAATCTTTCAACTCCAGCAACTCTGTAGTTCTTCATCTCCTCAGGCTCTGGAATTCTCTGGAATTCTCTCGAATTCTCACATGAACTGGGAAGTTGCCACATTTTAAATGGGTCGACTTCCGGTTCATTTGAGAGCTTTTGATTGGTCGATGGACCAGGAATAGAGGTGTGGTTTATGATGTAAGATGTTATTAAAAGTCAAGGATTGTTTAGTAACAAACAGAAAGATTATTGTAGGACTTCAGACTTCGTGGAGTCTCACACTTATAATCTTCTGCAAAAGTTTAAACATGACATCTTTCTCGGTAAACATTTTAGTTGACCGAAAACCGACCTTTCACATACTTACAAAACTTGGCTCATTTCAGACAGAAAATCAAGAAATGCATATTAACCTGATTTCTTCTTTGAATGAGGAATAAAAATCATTACTTACTGTTTATGTAAAATAAAAATGAGTAGTTCTTTTCAACCTGTAACATTGAGTGAACTAACACCATTTGATTATCAAACATTTGTAAACAGTGATGATCATAGAGAATTGTCTTTTCTGCTTGATTAATTCAAGAAAGAAAGTCATCAGATGGCTCAGACTGTATTCAGATCAATGAAATAACAGTCCCTGTCCATCTGATAGATTTGAGGTCATCAGGGTCAGATCAGGGTCAGATCAGGTTCACTACATACGTATCTATGCTCTTCAACCCCTCGGTGATCAGGGACTTGAGCGTGCTGTTTGTCTTTTGTTGCCATCAACACTGGCTTAAAGTCTGAATTGATCCCACATTATATTCAGAAACTTGACCATGAAGAAGTTCAGTGTAATGCAGGTGGTTCAGACCGGTCAGTGACAGGACGTGTCGGTGAAAGATGATTTTTTTCGGGGGGGGGGGGGGGGGGGGGGGGGGAGGGGGGGTAAGACAGGTGGACGCAGGACGTTGCTGTTGCACACCACAGTCTCAGATCACTTGTTTTCAGGCAGGCTGCCCGCCTTTATTTAGACAGTAAACTTGTTTTAGCCAAACATTTTCTTTACATGCTTTTCCACGCAGGGTAGTGTTAAAATTCAGTTGTTTTTTTTTTTCATTCAACCTTTATTTATACAGGTTAGTCTCATTGAGCCTCAAGGACTCATTTACAAGAGAGACCAAAGAACACAGGTGGCGACAGCAGACAATCATAAAAAAGCATATACATTGAAAAGTAAATGGAAGAAAATCATATTGGTATTGGAATAAAGTTTATTCATTTTAAAAATACAAAACGATTCCATAAACTATATAAAAAAATACAAGAGATTTAAAATGAAAGGCAGCAGAAAGAAGGAAAAAATCTTATTATATCTGCCCCTTTTTTCACACAATTAGTTCAATCATAAATATTCAATATTAAAATAGTTCAATATTAAAAAACCTAAACAAATGCAGCGACATTGTAAAGTGACGTAGAAAACTAAAAACAGGAACATGTCTGCACTGGGTTCTGCCATGAACTTAACAGATGTTTTAAAATCCCTCAGAGAGGTCAAGGCCGAGAACTTCAGATCTCTGTGCAAGGCGTTCCAGGAAACATGAGCGTATTAGTCTTCTAATCAACATCTTCTTTCTTTTTTATAATTTAAGAAATGTCTACATAAAAGAGCAGCACTGTGGCGCAGTTGGATGAGCTGCTGCCTCTCAGCGAGCAGGTTGCCCAGGCTCAAATCCCAGATGAGGCCTTTCCGTTCTCTCCGTGCATGTGTGGGTTTTCTCCAGGTACTCCAGTTTCCTCCCACAGATCAAAAACATGCATGTTAGGCTGATTGGTAACTCTAAATTGTCTCTAGGTGTGAGAGAGAGAGTGAATGGTTGTCTCTTTTGTCTCCGTGTCCCTGTGATGGACTGGAGACCTGTCCAGGGTGTCCCCCCTCCTCTCACAGTGACTGCTGGACATGGACACCAGTGACCCAAAAAGGATGAAGTGGAGATAAATGATGGTCGACATGAAAGTCCCATTGAAAAGAAACTTTGTAACTCAACTCTTTAACAAGCAGCTCTCGAGTAGCCCGACTTTCAAATGGTCTCTTTTGGGACTGACAACAGGTTTAATGTCTCCACTGAAAACCAGAACCATTTAACGAGTAACAACAAAAAAGGTTGAATCATGTCATCTGGACTTCGTTTTTTTGTTAAAAAGAAACGTTTCGCCCCTCGTCCAAGAGGCTTCGTCGGTCTGAGGCCTAGCCATCTGGTATTGCCCAGAAGCCACCCTGACTCTTGTGTTCCAAGCCTGCCTCAGATACCCCTGAAGTCTGGCCTTTTCACTAATGGTTTCAAAAACACAAAGTTTGTGTTGTGCTGAGAAAACAAACTTTGTGTTTTTGAAACCATTAGTGAAAAGGCCA